CCGAGTCTCTCCACTAATGAAAATGAACTCACTATGGCTACAGCCACCAATATGGGTGAATCTCTGAACATAATGTTGAGAGAAAAAAGTTACAGAACAACACATAAAGTATAATTTTATGTACATAAAGTTCAAAAAAATATTGTTGAGGGATACAAATATACAAGATAAAGCTATAAGGAAAAGCAAGGGAATTAAAGACATGTCTGTGAGTGGTAGGGAACAAGAAGAACAGAGGGAACTTCGAAAGTAGAAGTAATATTATGCCTCCCAAAACAGTGCTAGCTGCATGAGTGACTATTGTACAACTAATTATACCTTGTAGATATTTCACAAATCGTCTATGCTTACTCAGTATTTAATTTTTTCTAATTTAAAACAAAAATATTTACAAGTGAACCCATTTCTCTAATTCACTAGTAAAAAGCTTCATAACCTTTCCATATGTGGAGAGGAAAAGCAATCAATGACTCCCAAGCAACCAGTAACTTCCTTTAAGAACTTAGGGAGGATCAACTGAAGTCAGGAGTTCGACACCAGCCTGGCCAACATAGTGAAACCCTGTCTCTATTAAAACCACAAAAATTAGCTGGGTATGGTGGCAAGCACCTGTAGTCCCAGCTACTAGGGAGGCTTAGGCAGGAGAGTCGCTTGAACCTGCGAGGGGGAGGTTGCAGTGAGCTGCGGAAAAAAAAAAAAAGGGTAGGCAACAGGCTGAGTGTTAGAGACAACCCAGTACCCATGATGGGAATACAACGAATCAAGGAAAAGAAAGTAGGAAAATAAAATCTCAAACTTCTACTAAGTTTCATTCAAATTCTAATTTCAGCTGCTAATTCAAATGTTGGTCTGTATTTAGTAAAATGCAACATTACTACTAAAACACAAATATATAATCTTACAGTGTATTGTCAAGTACTAATTATTTTTCAGAATTAAAGAAAAAAGAATACCAAGTGATTTCAAAGACAGAAAAGACCCATAGTCACTCAAAACACACACCTCAAATATGTTTTTCAGTAATGATAAAACAATAACAAACAACTATTTAATATAGGTTCTCATTAGCAATGCAGAAAAGGGTCACTTAGAAGAATTCAAAGATACTTTCATCTACCCCCAACCCTTATTTTTACTCATGAAAATTTGTCTTAGGCTGGGCACAGTGACTCACGTCTGTAATATCAGCACTTTGAGAGACCAAGATAAGAGGATCCCTTGAGCCCAGAAGTTTGAGATCAGCCTGGACAACATGGTAAAACCTTACCTCTACAAACATTTTTAAAAATTAGCTGGACATGGTGGTGCATGCCTACTGTCCCAGGTACTCAGGAAGCTGAGGTGGGAAGATTATTTGAGCCCAGGAGGTCAAGGCTACAGTGAACCATGATCACGTCACTGCACCCCATCCTGGGCAACAGAGTAAGCCCCTATCTCAACAACAACAACAACAACAACAACAACAACAACAACAACAACAAAGGTCCTAGTATCTTCTGCTTACCATAAGCATGGGCTAGTCACATTTTAGAGATATTCATGTCTTGCATTTAAAGAGGGAGTTAACATTCCCCCAATGCCACCGTTTAGCTTAGTGACAAGTACTGTGGTGGTGATAGCGATAACATTAACAATAGCAACAACACTGGACAAGAGGAAGTTACAGGTGTAAGAATGGAAATCGAAGAGGTTTAAAAAAATCTGCATTTTGGAGAATTGCTTGAACCCGGGAGGCGGAGGCTGCAGTGAGCCAAGATCGTGCACTTCATTCCAACCTGGGCAAAACAGCAAGGCTCTGTCAAAGAAAAAAATCTGAATTTTATTCTGTATATCTCTGCAAATTAACAGTACTTTTATATGTGTGAAAATCCTAAAAGAACAAATGAAAAACTACCACAGAGAATTTGGTAACATAAAGGAATACAAAATTAACACAGAGAAATCAGCAACCTTCATATATACAAACACAGCAGAAAATAAGACCCCATTTACAATTGCAACTACAAATTCCTAGGAACAAAATTTAAAACTATGCAAGACATTTGAGAAAAATTTCTCCACATTAATTCAAAATCCAGGAGCTATAAAGGCAAAACTTGCATATTTTGCTAAAATAAAAAAATCAGTGCATAGTCAAATTTAAAAATTCCATCAACAAAGTCAAGATACACAATAAACTAGGCTAATGGCCCTAATATATTTTTAAAACTCTTAGAAAATATGAAAAAGTTCAAGAATCCAACACATCTGAGTAGTTAACAATAACTGTCAAGAGTCTTAAACAAATAAAAAGGAGCCCAATCTCACTAATAAGAGAAATGTAATTTAATTAAAATTATACAGATTTGGGCCGGAAGCAGTGGCTCCCGCCTATAATCCCAGCACTTTGGGAGGCAAACGTGGGTGGATCACCTGAGGTCAGGAGTTAGAGACCAGCCTGGCCAACATGATGAAACCCCACCTCTACTAAAAATACAAATATTAGCTGGTTGTGGCGGGGCACACCTGCAATTCCACTACTCAGGAGGCTGAGGCAGGAGAATCACTTAAACCCAGGAAGCAGAAGTTGAAGTGAGCCAAGATCACGCCACTGCACTCCAGCCTAGGTGACAGAGTAAGACTCTGTCTCAAAAAAAAAAATATTACACAGATTCTAGACTGGCAAAAATCCAAACATTTGACAACTTCTGTGACAAGGCAATGGAGAAAAAGGCAAGGTCTTAACATTGCTGGTAGTAATGTAATTGAAACAATCCCGAAGGAGGACAATTTGGCAATACTTACAAAAATTACAAATGCATATTACGTTTGACCCAGCAACTCCGCTTGGAATTTATCCTACACACATAATTGCACATGTACAAGATGCCATATGTACAAGATTATTCACTACAGCATTGTTTGTAATAGTAAAAGATTAGAAACAACTCAAGTCTTCACCAACAGAGAATTAGTTACATAAATTATACTATTTCCAAATGATGAAATACTATGCAGCAGTATGAAAGGACAAGAAATTCTCTGGCATTAACAGAGACAGATTTCCAATCACAATGTTACATGAAAAAAACAGGCTCCAGAAAAGTGTTAATAATATGCTACATGTTGTATAAAAGGGAAGAAAAGTAAGTATATTTTCTTAGGGACGCTAGAAGACAATACAAACTAATAAAGTGGGTATCGGTAGGAATGACATGAACGGGGGACAGGAGGAAGTGAGACGTTTCACTGTATAATGCCCTTTTACATTTTTGTACCATAAAAATGTATCACCTATTTAAAACATGAAATCAAATAATAAAACAAGAATAACAACAATGTTATCAGGCCAGGTGTGGTGTCTGATGCCTTTAATGCCAGTACTTTGGGAGGCCTAAGTGGGCAGACTGTTGAGCTTCGGAGTTTGGGACCAACCTGAGCAACATGGCAAGGCCGGGTCTCTACCAAAACTACAAAAATTAGCCAGGTGTGGTGGCATGTGCCTGTAGTCCCAGCTACCCCAGAGACTAGGGAAGGAGGATCACCTGAGCCTGGGAGGTAGAGAGTGCAGTGAGCTGTGATCACGCCAGTGCACTCCAGACTGGGCGCCAGAGCAAGACTCTCTCTCAAAAAAACAAAAACAAAACACAAAAGTGCTATCATTTATTGAGTGCTTACTTCATGGTAGACATGTATTATCTAATTTAAGTCTCATTAACACAATGAAGTCGGTAATATTATTAACCTTCGTCTAAAAGAGACAAAACAGGTGCAGAGAATTTTCCACATTTGTAAACCAGTGTAAACAGCAATAGTACCTATCTTAGAAGTTCATATGAGGATTAAATGAGATAATGTATATAAAATACTTGGCACAATGCCAAACACATAGTAAATGCTTTATCAATGCTTTACTATTTCAAGGCAATAGCTCTTTTCAAGGATGTTTCAATCAACTGAACCAAATAAAATAACAATAAAGTCAGATAAGAAGTTAGCAAAGGTGCGTTAACTGAAATGTATATGTTTAGATTAAACAGCCTCTAGTTAACTGAAGGCTGCTTTAGATGTGCTATATCCTCACTCTACAAATTACATAGTCATTAAAACAACTTCTCATACCCCATAACTATACATGGGTTAAGGTAACTATTTAATAATTTTAACATATTTGATACCTGTACATCAGGTATCAACTGAAAAGTTTAGGATTGTAACCACTGTTTATTTTTAAAAGAAGGAGAGTAAGAAGTGGAATCATCAGCAGATGAACAGACAAGGTAATGTGGTATACATATACAATGGAATACTATTCAGTCATATAAAAGAATGGAATCCTGTCATCATTAGTAGCAGCATGGATGGATGAGTCTGGAGAACATTATGTTAAGAGAAAGAAGTCAGACACAGAAAGATAAATATCACATGTTCTCACTCATATGTGGGAGCTAAAAAAAAAATGAGCTCATGGAAGTGGAGAGTAGAATTGTGGATACTGGAGGCTGGGAGGAGTATGGGGAAGGGTAGGTGGGGAGAGGCTGGTTCATGGGTACAAAATTATAGCTAGATAGGAGGAATGAGCTCTGGTGTTCCACAGCACTGTAGGATAAACGGTTAATTATAATTTATTCCATTTTTTCAAAAATATGGAAGAAAGAATTTCAAATGTTCAGAACACAAAGAAATGATAAATGTTTGAGGTGATATATTAATTTCTCTGATTTGATCATTACACATTGCATACCTGTATCAAAATATCACTCTCCACCCCCATAAATATGTACATTCATTCATTCATTCATTTTTCCTGAGACAGAGTCTCACTCTGTCACCCAGGCTGGAGTGCAGTGGCACGATCTCAGCTCACTACAATCTCTACCTCCTGGGTTCAAGCAATTCTCCTACCTCAGCCTCCTCAGTATCTAGGATTACAAACGTGTGCCACCATGCCCAGCTAATTTTTCTACTTTTAGTAAAGATGGGGTCTCACCACGTTGGCCTCTTGACCTCATGATCTCCCCCGCTCAACTCTCCAAAGTGCTGGGATTACAGGCATAAGCCACCGTGCCCGGACCAATATGTACAATTATTACATGTCAACTAAAAATTAAAAAGCAAGAAAGGGGATTTACATTCCAAAATACTGTCATTTCTAATTTACTCAGTTACTCGTGGACAACAGAATATTCCACATCATGAAACTACACAATTATTGTACATGTTGCTGACCCATAAGCAAGATACTATTTTGGGAAAGTCTCAAAAGAAATATCAAACTTTCCCCTTTCTAAAAGAAAGCTATACCATCTAGGGCTTGCTTTGATATTTAAGCCTGATGAAAAGAATATGAAGAGAGGAAAAAAAATCAATCCTGCAAAGCAGCAGCTGGCTTTTTAGAAGCTTAGCAAAAGCCGTGTTCAATAAAACTGAGGCAGGACTGCCTGGCACAGCAGCTCATGCCTGTAAACCCAGCACTTTGGGAGGCCAAGTCAGGTGGATCACTTGGGGTCAGGAGTTCAAGACCAGCCTGACCCACACAGTGAAACCCCATCTCTACTAAAAAAACGAAAATTAGCCTGGCATGGTGGTGTGTGTCTGGAATCCCTGTTACCTGGGAAGCTGAGGCACGAGAATCACTTGAACCCAGGAGACAGAGGTCGCAGTGAGTTGAGATCACACCACTGCACTCCAGCCTAGGTGACAGAGTGAGACACCATCTCAAAAACAAACAAACAACAACAAGAAAAAACAAAAAACAGGTGGGACAGGATTCACAGCAAAGTCTTACAAAACATTTTGTTTTAATTGTATTTTTAAGTTTTTGTCTTTGTTCTGTGTGAAAAATAGGCTACATTTGAATTGTCCAATTATACGGTAACAAAGTACATAAGAAAAAACTACTCAAGTCATAAAGTGTAGTATGAAGCAAAATATAAAAAGTCTGTATCATTAAGGACTGAATGAGAAAATGCTTTGTACAACCTTTAGTCTCTGTAAGTGTAAGAGGAACTACTCTATCTATTCTACAGAACTATAAGGGAACTAGGTACGGAATTGCTCTCCCACATTTTCTAGCTTTAGTCATAAAAAAGTCTTTCTACACTTTAAAAAATACTGGGAAGAACAGTCCCCACACTTCTCCTTGTACCTGGCATGGCCTCACCTGTTCCAGGCTCTGTCAAAAGTGCCTGCTCAGCAACTGCTTCTGTGTGTTCAGCATGTTGGGGTCAGGGCCCTGGCCAGCCTTCTGGAAACAAGTCTGTGGGGTCTAGCTCCCTCTGACTCCATTACTGGCACAGATAGGGTATGAGACAGCAATTCTAGTAAGTTTGTCTCCTATGCAGATCCAATCTTTCCCTGGGTGAGTGCCTATACTGTCCAACAACCACTAGCCACATTTGGCTATTTAAATTTAAATAAGATTAAAAACACAATTCCATCACCACATTGGCCACATTTCAAGTACTCTACAGTCACATGTGGCTAATAGCTACCACACTGAACAGTGCAGATACAGAATATTTCCATCATCATAGAAAGTTCTACTGGAGAGTGCTAGTCCAGACTCAGTGGGGAAGGAATTAAGGAAGCCTGATTAGGGCTGCAGATTCTAACCAGATTCACTAATAATAATGTAGTTGTGTTTAATTCCATTTTTCTGATTTCTCCATCTAACTCTCGAGGTTCCAAAGTCAGATCAGAGAGGTTTGATTAATATTCACATCCAAAATCCCTAATAATTACAAACACATACAGAAGAATTTATGTGTCACTATGCAACAGGTTTATTTATATAATTTAATTATCAGTACAATCTTATAAAGAAGATACCATCCCTTTTACAGATGAGAAAATAAGGCTTAGAGAAAAGTGGTTTTCTTATTCTTTTTTTCACCACACAGCTAGTAAGTGGTAGAGTCAGGATTCAATTTAAAAAATCAAACAAGCCAACAAAAACTGCTAAGGCAATGTCTTATGATCATCTTTAATCCATGACCCCTTCCAATAACTTTAAAAATTTCACACTATCCCAAAGATGATACATACCCTACTGCCATTAAAATGCCTTTATCTCCCATTAAAGCGCCTTCTATCAGGCTGGGCACAGTGGCTCACGCCTGTAATCCCAGCACTTTGGGAGGCCAAGGAGGGCAAATCATCTAAGGTCAGGAGTTTGAGACCAGACTGACCAACATGGAGAAACCCTGTCTCTACTAAAAATACAAAATTAGCTAGGCATGGTAGTGCATGCCTGTAATCCCAGCGACTCAGGAGGCTGAGGTAGGAGAATCACTTGAACCCGGGAGGTGGAGGTTGGGGTGAGCCAAGATTGCACCATTGCACTCCAGCCTGGGCAACAAGAACAAAACTCCATCTAAAAAAAAAAAAAAAGCCTTCTATCTTGAGTACATTTCCAATAGCTAGTTTTTTAAGGCTTTACTTTTAAGTTATTATGTAAAAATTAATTTTTCATTTCCCAACATTAAAATATTTTTTTCAAAATACATTGATTTCCCCCTTAAACATACATACAGTGAACCACAAAAGTGAAGACCCTCTCTAATCTTTCCAGTTTTAGAGATGGGAATAGTGAAGCCAGAAGAGAGTGGGATGGGAACACCCAGGCTGCACAGAGACAGAGAACCACTGGCACCGAAACACATTAGGAGGGCACCGCCAGCACACTTGACTTCACCTGACTCTTTTCATTTTTAAAGAGACAGTGTCTCACTGTGTTGCCCAGGCTGGGCCACATATGCTGCCTCAAACTCTCAAGTAGCTGGGACTACAGGTGTGTGCCGCTGTACCCAGCTTTTCACCTGACTCCTAAATGGCAAAATTCCGTACACCCCAACCCATCTCGTCCTCCAAAAAGTTAAGATTTTATCCTACTTTATGGTAGGTCTTGTGGGATATACAGGAACAAAGCTCTGAAAGCATTCAGGTAAGAAATCCCACGGTTTTTATAGGCTGTGGGAGCCAGAAGAGATCTCAGAGAACTAATTCACTTCCTAATTTTAGAAATGAGGAGACAGAAGCTCAGTTACATACAAACTGAGGCATCCTGCCTTGCACCATTTTATAGTTCTCTGAGACAAAGGTGGCCTCTTCATTTAATTTTACAAAGTGACTACTTAGTGTTAGGGTCTATGGTAGTTGCTGGTGTTAGAAACATCAAGTGGACATTGCCCTGTCCACACACAGCTTACATTCTGAGAGCAAATGATACATAAATACATAATTACAATGGAGCGTCATAAGTACTGTGGTAGTGAACTTGTAGGACTCAGAGGAGGCCATGTATGAGCTGAATCTTAAAGGATAAACAGGAATTCATTACAGAGGAAGACATTCCAGGCAGAAGAATACTATATACAACAGAAAATGGAATGGGCAAGAAGACAGGGCAGGTGACAAGGTGGGAAAGAGGCATTTTAAATAAAATCCTTCATTATGCAGACTATCAAGAGCCATATAAAGGATACACTCTAAACGTCATTTTTACATCTGTGAGTAGTGTTCTTATTATAAGTCATTTAAGAAAAGAAAATGTCTCTTCAACAAATGGCACTAGGAAAATGAATTGTATGGATTCTTTTGTATGGATAGCCACATACAAAAGAATGAAGTTGGACCTTACACCATACACAAAAATTAACTCAAAATGGATTAAAGACTTAATGTGAGACCTGAAACTATAAAACCCCTAGAAGAAAACATGGGAGAAAGCTTCATCACATTGGATGTGACAATAATTTCTTGAAATATAAACCAAAAGCATGGGTAATCAAAGCAAAAACAGACAAATGGGACTATATCAAATGCAAAAACTCCTTTGCAGCAAAGAAAACAATCAACAGAGTACAAAGGCAACCTATCCAACAGGACAAAATATTTGCAAACGATACATCTAATCAGGGTTTTTATATCTAGCCAGAATATATAATGAACTCTACAACTCAACAAGAACAACAACAACAATTTAAAATGGGCAAAGGACTTGAATAGACATTTTTCCAAATAAGACATACAAATGGACAACAAGCATATGAGAAGATGCTCAACATCACTAATATTAAAGAAACACAAATTGAAACCACAATGAGGTATCATCCTTACACCTGTTAGGATGGTCACTGTCAAAACATATATATATATACACACACACCAGAAAATAAAAAGTGTCAAAAAGGAGGTGGAAAAGTGGATGCCTGTGCACTGTTGGTAGGAATGTAAAATAATGCAACGAAGATGGAAAGCAATGTGAGGTTCCTTAAAAAATTATAAATTGCATTACCATATAATTTTAGTAATCCCACTGTTGGGTATATATCCAAAAGAACTGAAAACAAGATCTCAAAGAGATATTTGTACATCCATGTTCAGCACAGCATTATTCACAATAGCCAAGAGGTGAAAACCTAAATGTCCATCAAAAGATGAATGGATCTGGGAGCGGTGGCTCATGCCTGTAATCCCAGCACTTTGGGAGGCCAAAGCAGGCGGACTGCCTGAGGTCAGGAGTTCGAGACCAGCCTGACCAACATGGAGAAACCCCGTCTCTACTAAAAATACAAAAATAGCTGGGTCTGTAATCCCAACTACTCAGGAGGCTGAGGCAGGAGAATCACCTGAACCTCAGAGGTGGGGGTTGCGGTGAGCCGAGATCATACCATCGCACTCCAGTCTGGGCAACAAGAGCAAAACTCCATCTCAAAAAAAGAAAAAAAAAAAGAGAGACTATGGTGTATACATACACTGGAACATCATTCAGCTTTTAAAAACAAGGAAATCCTGTCCTATGCTACTACATGGAGGACATTATCCTAAGTGAAATAAGCCAGTCAGAAGAAGACAAATACTGCATGATTCCAATATTACTACTACATATCTTATGAAGGATCTAAAGCAGTCAAACTTTTGGAAACAAAAGTAGAAAAGTGGCTGCCACGACTAAGGACAAGAGGAAAAGGGAAGTTGTTCAATGGATATAAAGCTTCAGTTTTGCAAGACTGAAAAGTCTGAGAGGTCTACTGACAGCAGTGTACTACTGTATTGCACACTTAACATTGGTTAAAATGATAAATTTTATGTGTTTTTTTGACAATTATTTTTAACTGAAAAAAAAAGAAAGAAAAGAAGATACAGAAACGCAGGCATGGTTCACTCCCAAACACCTATGTTAGTTGAAGCAGACAAGGCCATGTATAATAGAAATCACTTTTAGAAGTCTTTGGAGTACAATAAATGTGGCTTTTGCAAACATACAATTCATAAACATATTCAAATGACATGAATATCAAAATTAGTTTGCACGTTTGAGCTCACAAACTGTCTACGTGGGGAAGTAGGATGGAAGTGCACTGAGAGGCAGGGGACACTGAGCCTGGGGTCAACTAAGGCCTTAGAACCCCTACAAAGTAGAAACATAACAGTCAAAGCCAGGAACCAGTGACACCTAACTATAGTAATCTCTGAGACACTCAAGGGTCCAGGAACTCTCACTCTGTCACCCAGGCTGGAGTGCAGTGGCATAATCACAGTTCAAAGCAGTCTCGACCTCTCCGGCTCAAGCAATCCTCCTGCCTCAGACTCCCAAGTAGCTGAGACCACAGGCGCGCACCACCACACCTGGAGCGCGCGTGCGCGCGCGCGTGTGTGTGTGTGTGTGTGTGTGTGTGTCTGTCTGTGTGTGTGCGCGTGCGCGCATGCACAGATACAGGGCTTCCCAATGTTGCTCAAGTTGGTCTTGAAATCCTGGGCTCAAGTGATTCCCCAGTCTCAGCCTCCCCACAAACTGCTAGGATTACAAGCATCAGCCACCATGCCCAGCCTCCAAGAATTTGATTCTACAATAACTGGCTAGATTTCTACTCAGCACAAGTCCATGTCAGGTGCTTTGTAAAACACTATCTCTGGCCCTCAAATATTTTATGGTTTATTATTTTACAGATGAGGCTACTATAAGCTAAGAGGAAATCTTTTGTCCAAAGCAGTGCAGCAGCCCTGGTATGTCACTGCAAGTCTAGGGAGTTAGGACACAAACAGCCAATACTAATCCCTTAATCATGGAAAGATGATTAACACTTCTGCTATGGTTTGGATGTTTGTCCTCTTCAAACCTTACGTTGAAATTTCATTCCAAATGTTGGAAATGGGGTCTAATGGGAGGTGTTTAGATTACGGAGGCAGATCCCTCATGAATAGATTAATGCCCTCCCTGAGAAGTGAGTGAGTTCTCACTCTATCAGTTCCAGAGACAGTTGGTTGTTAAAAAAGAGCCTGGGTTAATCACTTGAACTCAGGAGTTTGAGACCAGCCTGGACAACACAGGTGTCCCTATGTTGGAACACCTCTACATAACAATTTTAAAAATTAGTTGGGCAAGGTGGCATGCACCTGTGGTCCCAGCTACTCGAGAGGTTGAGGCAGAAGGACTGCTTGAGCCCAAGAGTCTGAGGCTGTAGTGAGCTGTGATCGCACCACTGCACTCCAGCGTGGGTGATACAGCAAGACTCTGTCTCCAAAAAAAAAAAAAAAAAAAAAAAAAAAGCTTGGCACCTTCCCGTGTCCTTCTTCCTCTCTTCCTCTCTCACCATGTGATCTATGCATTCCCCAGCTCCCCTTCTGCCTTCCTTAAAGAGTATAAGCAGTCTGAGCCCCTCACCAGATACAGATGCCCAATCCTGAACTTTCCAGCCATCAGAATCGTGAACCATAAAAACCTTTTTTCTTTATAAACTACTCTGTCTCCAGCATTCTGTTATAGCAACATAAAATGAAGATGACTGCCTTTGTTGTGTCCAGCCTGGCAGAGCCACGCAGAGCCTCCTCTACCCAAGAACCCCTCTATTTCCAGGCAATGTTCAGATCTTCTCTGGATGGATTCTGTAAACCCCCAACTCATGTGCCCCACCTGGTTCCCAGTCTCTACCACCTCCTAGTGGCACTTGTCTGAACAGACACTTACAGTTGTAAATGTCTGTTGCACAGGAACTCACTATACCTCACCACACTAAATTCCCCACTTTTGCTAACCAAAGCCATGGTGATTTATTCAGACCTAAGGATGTCAGTTGCCTGCTCCAAATACAATTAGCAGGAGCAAATCAAAACTCTTCTTGATCAAGCCTCGTCTCTCACCTCTTCTGCCCTCATCCTCTACGTTCCAGACACACCCTACTACTTTCATTCCCCACAATTTACCAGCATCTCTCACCTCAGATGTTTACACCAGCACTTCACCTGCCTCGAAGCCTCTTGCCTAACCTCCTCCCATCCTTGAAGGCTTCGTTTAGGGGTCTTCTAAGAGTCTTTCCTGATATTCTCCCATGCGAAGCCCAGGCCAGGTGTCCCTCCTCTAAGAAACTTACCATACTAAACTTTTCCTCTCATAGCATTTATTATGCTATATTGTAATTGTCTCACCTCCCTACAAGATTATACATACCATTAGATTAGGAACTATCTCATTCACCATTGTATTCTCAGCATTAGCCAAGTCCCTGGCACATACAGGCACTCAAGTAGTATTTGAGAAATCAATGAATGAGTTTTTCTTCCAACTACCTGGCTCTGCTGACTCATACTAAGGTTACAATCAACCGTGACCCTAACCTTCTCTTTTATGTGTTAATTGGTTAAACCTCATCTTCCTCTTCCCCTTTTCCACTGCCATCCCCATACATAAATGACTGCGTCTTACGACCTAAGCACAAGTATCATTTTGGTGTGTCAAGACCACTTCAGTCCCTGACTTTGTCTCTGCACATACCTGCTATTCTTCCCAGCTTTCTGCTTTCCACAAGTGTCGTCAGCCTATCATCAATGTTCTCATTCAGGTCCCTGACAGCAATGAACACACAGAGACCTACAGCTTGCCACAACAGATAGCTGTCCAGTTTGACATAAATCCATTAATCACCACCCTGTGCCTAGTCTCTCAGCCAGGTGCAAGTCCACCGGACCACGATGTAACTGGCTAAAGTATCTCCAGCTTGCATGCAAGAAAACCACAAAAATAGATGCTTTACTGAAATTCAGAACAAAGAATTTTAACCAG